GGGACGGGAAAAGAGCGGGAATACAACAAAAGGACTATAATAAAGGAAGTGAGCCCTGATTAAGAACTTTTAATTGATAATTTTTCATAATTTTCCTATATTGTCTATTTTAAAATTTATTTTGTAAATTATGATTGAATTGATGTATATAAAATATTATCACAGTGAATCATTAGTAATGTTTTCATTGAACATGTCCATGTATTGTATGCATTATGAATGCAGATTGAATTGTGAATTAATTATTTTAAACAGTCATAAAATAGGTTTATGTAAAGAATCACTTAACCAATTGCAAATGTTTCTATGTAATAACTACGTTGGCCCAACAATTTGCCACCTGACATTGTAAAAAAAAGGGTCAACATTGGGCCAACCTAACCAACCAGTTGTTAAGGTTGGCTGTTAGTTGGCATACACTAAAAACTACATTGGCCCAACAATATGCCATTTGACATTTCAACATAGGGCCAACGTTGGGCCAACCTAACCAAACAGTCGTTAAGGTTGGCTGTTAGTTGGCATACACCAATAACTACGTTGGCCCAACAGTATGCCATCTGACATTTCAACAAAGGACCAACGTTGGGCCAACCTAACCAACCGTTATTAAGGTTAGCTGTTAGTTGTCATACAATTATACCTACGTTGGCCCAACAATATGCCAACATGTTGGACCAACGTTGGGCCGATGAGCAAAATTACCGTGGGCCAACGTAAAGTTACCAACAGTGGGCCAACATTGGAAAAAAATTGGGCCAACGTTGGCCCAACTATGTCTTGCTATCTGGGATTTTACATTTTAAATCACCCCATAAAAAGCCTATTGCACTGAGCTCTACAGAACATTCTTTTGAAACTTAAAATATAATTTTGTATTTATTCAATATGAGTACGTGACATTGATCTGGATTAACTTATTTTTTTTAAGTTTCAGACACGTGAGAAATCATGGAAAGGAGAATTCCAGCGAAATCGATTGGACAAAAACGAAAGGGTACGAATGAGGAATAACTTCTAATTCATAAAGAAATATTATTCTGATGCTTATGTTTGTATATAGAAGTACGCTACACAAAAATCAATCTTAAAATATATTTTATTAAAAATCTGTTGATATACTGAAATGCAAAAGAAACGCAACGAGCAGTATTCTACAAATGTTTGAATTTTTTATCTAATGATGTTCAAAAAGGAAAACAGTAAGGTTAAACCCGTTTTTCAGAACATCAGAGATTTGGTAAAAATGTTAAATGTATTTCTTTTACCTTTATCAAGTAACATATGACTGTTAAAACACTCCCCTCCAAGCCATTCAATTACAACGTGCAAGACTGCCCTAAACAAGAATTGCAGTTTAATTTCTTCGATACAATAGGTATCGACATCTGAGCGAGGGAAATATTCTTTGCCATTTTCAAATGCCTGTTTTTCAGATGATTACGTCGAATTTTCTCTAACTTAGCGCATTGTATGAACCCTTGGAATTTCGGTCCAAGGACTATCATTTATATATAATTATGCATATGATACGTAAGAACCCATCGAGGCTTTAAGTAGTGTATTTTTGCATCATCAACTCTCCATCACCTTTATTTTGAGATTTTCCAGCTAGAGCGGAGCATCTGTATGTCATGCAATTCATTTAATTATAATTACATATATATGTTAAATTATATCTTCCTTAAGTAGCATAGTGCTGAGATAATATGTGTGTATTTCTTTTTTTCTAGTAGTATGCTAGTCTGTAATGTTTTAATATTTGAATCATGACATTCTGTGATATTTTTACCTGAATAAAATGAAATGAAAAAAGAGCAATGGAAATGCGTACGTATGCCATTTTCAAGAAGCCTAAGCATCGTTACGAGAAACGAAATGAAATTTTGCTTTTGAATTATTGCTGCATTACTTACGATGAACAGTACAAACCCTTAAAACTCCATAATATTGCCAAATGTTTTGTTAAACATCAATAGGGCATATTTGGAAACTCGAATCAAACTGTTTAAGATATCTTCTGATATTTTCTTTTTAAATCCATTTCTTTATTTAATCATATCAAAAACACCTGTTCAATATTAACAGACATCAGAAAAATTTGGATTCATTTGCCTCTCATCTTAATATTTTGATTTAATTCATTCCCTTTCAAAAGATTTTAGCATTATAGGCTGATTTATACGTTTTCCACTTCGAATACAACTACACTACAATTATATTTGGATTATTTAAATATCTCCTCAGGCACTAGTCCTAATTTAAATGTGTTCTTTTCCAACAGGATCTAGTATAGAGACTGAGATAATGCCCATAAAAAAGCCAGAATTCCAGCCCAGATTAATCAAAGGGAAAGATATAAAACCCTCAAAGATACATCTGAGAAAGGTAGGAAACGCAATACTGGTTCTAGTAATCGTGGAATGTCAACATCTCTACCTAGGGGACATGCAACAGTAAATGATGATCAAAGCAGTGAACATTCAGACGATTCTGACGATGAAAGCAGCGAACAAAGTAATGAACTTTCCGATTCTTCAATACAGTTTGTGGAGGAAGCAGACGAAACTTATTCTGATGATGAAAATAGCAATGAAAATTCCGATTCTTCAGTACAGTCTTCCGATTATGAAACAGACGTAGAACGGAAGTCAGATGAATATGTTTACCGACTTCTCCGGATTGGCGAAATCTATCAAGATGGACTGTTTTCGAAAAATATCCTCTCACAACAACATGTAGAACATGGAAGCAAAGGACAAGAATCAAAGTTTGTATCTTGCTGTAAATCACTTTCTGGTATAGAAAGGCTGGGAAGGTATACCAATATGCCGAATTATGTAAAAGACGTGGTAAGGATCAATATCAGCAAATTGAACAAAACAGCCAAAGTCATTGATCTGACAAAGGAGGAAATACGAACAAAGTACATTGATCCGTGGTCAACCGCCTGGGGATATGCGGAGAGATTTCAAGAAGTCATTATAGAACCAACGTCCCATGTTAAGCAAGAATTTGTAGAGAAAATTGGTTTAATTCATCACGGATATTTTCATCCAATATAGGCTGTTTGGGAAAAACATTATCAGCTTCAGTTATTTCTTGCAGTTTATTAGTTTAAGCTTTTTTATTATTCGATCATAACAGTAGCTCAAAAATGAAGAAGAGGAAGAGAATTACATGTGTATTTAAATGCAAGGGGGTCTATGCCCTTTAAAATATAGCATATACCCAACATTTACATGTACATGACATTGTACTGAACAATATCTATATAATGGATAATAAACAATAATATTAAAAAACCAATGCTTACTTGAAGTTAAAATACAATCTTACAACTGAAGAATGTAAATAGCAAAATGAGTATTTTTATACATGTACATGTAACTATTTGTTCCTTTTTGAATTTCACTAATCAAGTTTCTGTTCTTACGAAATTAAACTGTTTTATTGTAAATATTGTTTTATTTCAAGTCGAACAAACAACATTTAAAAATAGCTTTAAAAAGATTAGTCTCGTTTTCCTATCATTTTTTATTTTGGTGTTTTTCTGACTAAAAACGAAAATGACCCAAATTATAACTAAACTGCATGGTAAAGAGGTATGTAGTACTAGTCCAGTGACACCTGTGTATCAATCGCTAACGATATAACGCCAGTTAATGGTACAAATATCATAAAGCGTTGCAACTCAAAAAAACAATTGCATTAATGGTTTACCTTTTCAAGTGCTAATGCCAAATTGCCGCTTAATGAAAGAATTGTATCATTAAGAGAATGAGCATGTCAATTATTAGCACATTTATTTATGATATTAAGCGTTGTATTGCTACGCGTAATGATATTTCTTTCATTCAGCGGCCTTATATCATTAGCGGTTGCTGCACACCTGCCGTCACATTTAATGTCTACACTGTCTCTTATAAAATCAAACCTATGCAAATTTCTAAATCCCAAACTTTTATTCAAAGCATCATTCAGAAGATGAATGAACAGGACATGCAGAATGCTTGTATTTATAATAATCATATTTAATTTTTGAAATAAGTATTAGGGGGTAAAGCTTTTTTTATGAAAATTGATGAAACTACGATAAATAAAACTTTTTACTAAAATGATTACGAATAATTTTGTTTACTTGCTTTATGACGCTGATTACTGTTCGATATCTTAACAAATAAAAAAAAAAGATTTAAAAAATGTCCCAGAAAATCTGCTGTTATCCAAACTTTAACAATGATCAACATTTGGTTTACGAGATAGAAAAATTTCACCTTTCTTAAAATAACAATTTTAATCACGACGACTATCCCGAACCAGTCTGCCCCATATTCCACATTTGTATTGTTTAGATGAACTTTTGAGCTTTTATTATCTTTATCTCCATATTTCATTCCAACATTCCAAGTATGTTTCATCCTGTGCACATGCAGTAATACCAACACAGGTGGCTACACAGTTGTACACTTAATTACTATCTATAAATGAAAGAAACATTAATGATACACATGGATTCTCTTGTGCAAGAAAATGCTAATTTTGTTCTTTCTCTCCACTCCATGCGTTATGCACTCTTAGTCTATTCATTTTCTTTAATCTTTAGAATTTAAAATGAAATTTAGTATGAAAACATATGTAATAGCACCTGCGTAACACCTGTTAATCAATGTACATAAAGTAATGTTCCATGTGGCTAAATATGCAATGCATAAGCCAATAAACGTACTTCTATGTATAATTTTGAAAAACTGTTCATGATTTCTATTCAACACATATACTCATTGCCACAAGGTTATTTAAAACTCGGATATTTAGGTTACATAGGTATTTAAGTCGACATTCACATATTACGATCCTGCTTGCTAGACCTTTAAATACAGATTGAATAAAACCTTTGAAATAAATTCGTTTTTATTTCATGTTTTTTTTAGAATCGTCTCCTTTCACATTTATTTCCGTGAAACTCAATCTTTTTAATGGCTAAAAATAACATTTTCGTTTATATAACCCATATTATTATGTAATGCACAAGGAAAGAAACAGTAAATACAGAAGACTGATTTATTGTCGATTTTTACTCAATTTGGGGTAAGTTTATATTAAGATACGAATATGTGAGACTGCCCTCTTCAACCACTTGCATGGGTTCATGTCTTTGCTTTATTTGTTTGTGTGTTCCAGTGCGAGGAATCAGGTCTTTTGTAATAAAGAAAAATCTTCCAATCTTTTGAAATACCATAGATGTAGAGGAAGCACAGAAAAGCATCGACATTTCATTCAGTAAACTTGTCCTATGTATGTGTGTGGTCCTTCGGTGTGTTTATATTAAATAAAAAGCTTTTATTTTACTTTAAAGAATAGTTAAAAATTTGCAAAAAATATAAATAAATAAAAAAATATTTAATTTTTAAATAAACTATTATAACCACATACATGTCGATCCTTTTGTATAGAGAATGTTGGATAAATAAATTAATAAAAGATAAATTTAAAATACCAAATGCATTATTAGCGCACCATGTACATGTAATACATTGGTTGGGAAATTAAATTGCTACATTTAGCTGTGAAAATGGAATTATAAATGGATGGATTATTTTATTGACGGCATGCATTTGGCCTTGTAATAAACTCTGTTTGGTAATTCATGTGGTAAATACATTATTGCGTTGCATTTTCAAAACTCGCTTTCGCATTTACTTCCTGGAAACTCAAAATCGATCTTTCAAATGAAAAGAAATTGGCTGTTTAATCAATACAATGTTCAATATTTTGACACCATATCCCGACAACAGAAAGGAAAAATAGAACAATCAAACAAACAAAACCTTATGGTTGAAGCCATTTCAAAAAGCGTCAATTACCTCTGTCTTAATTTCCACTGTCGATGAAGAGGGACGTTAAACAATATACAATCAATAAATCAGTGTTCATCAAAAGTGTGTATTTGTTTTGTTTTAATTTGGATTTCATTTGCTAGCTAATTGTTTGTTATAAAAGTATCGTTTGAGTAATCTATATGATTTTCAGATTATTGAATGATTCACTAACAGTATTAATATGATGCAAATCGCCTTTGTTTCGGAAAAAAAATCTTGTTTTGATTGACAAATACATAAAAAAAATTAATTTAATATACAGAGAAAGCAAACTCGATAGAAAAATACACTTAAAAATAAATGTACGAAATCTTGTATACATATAATTATAATTTTCAGAAATCAACTATTGATTGATTGATTGTATATTGTTTTTATGTAACGCCGAGTCGGTAATATTTCAGGCATATTTCGGCGGTAAATTATTGAACAGTGAGTGATTATACATAGTTAGAATATATCAAAATAAAATAACAATAGCCCCTAACATGTCTGAGCTCTGTGTTTAAGTGCTTACGTTTATTCTTTTGGACAAAATGCACATTAAGTACCTAATAACATCTTTTAATTAGATATCTAAAAAGGCGCCATGGGAGCTCGTCAAGCTAAAATGAAGAAAAATGTAGGATCCAAGCGAAAAGGTATGTAAAACGAATACTTTCTAGTTTTGATTCTTAGATCCTGTTTGTATTGGTACTGCGGGAAATTCCAATTGCTGCATACGCTACTTGAAATTTTCTTGTATTTTTAACCTTACAATGAAGATTGTTGAGTATCAGAATGGGCCTAAATGTTTTTCTTCTGCTACGAAATCTACATGAATCATATTAATAATATGACTGTTCTCTCCACATTTTCATGTCTGTAAGAAAAAATGAAAAATGGTAGATTTTTTCTCTGCAGTTATATTACTAATGATATTATATGTTGATATTAATATAGGATCCAGTGGTCAAGAAACAGGATTTAAGAAAAAAATATTCAACTGTTTCTACAATAATGAAGCTGAGGACGAATCAGAAGAAAGGGATATTTCTGTACAGTATGATTTGACTAGAAATGCTAATAAAGAAGAGATAAATGATCTAGCTGATATCAATGTTCTTATCACTACTGATAAAGAAATAAAGAACAACGAACTAGCTGATATAAATGATTTGATCTGTACTGATAAAGAAATAAAGAACAGCGATCTAGCTGATGTAAATGATTCGATCAGTACCGATAATGAGAAAGAGAACTGCGATCTAGCTGATATCAATGATTTGATCAGTACCATAATTGAAATAGAGAACAGCGATTTAGCTGACCCACAAGAACAAAGTAATAGCAAGACTGAATATAGCAAAGATGACGACTCCAGAAATAAATCAGGGGACGAGGAAAAGAACGTTGAAAAAAGAGATGACACAATTGCTAGAATTGTTGAGGGACATGCTTCATTGAAAATAGAGGAAGAGGAATTAGAGGCAATAAACACTGATGATGAAAGCAATGAAACAAATTTTGAGACATCGATACAGATTAGCGATAAGGAAATACACGTGGAACACATACCTGATGAATATGTATATAGAATCCTACGATTTGACGAAACTTATCATAATGGGCTTAGACCAAAGAACATCTTCTCGAGAGTAAGTCTTCAGCAACACGTGGAACGGGGAAGTAAGGGCCAGGAATCGAGGTTTATTTCCTGCTGCAAAACACTGTATGGCATAGAGAGGCTAGGAAGCCTTACGAATGAGTTTCAAAGAATAAGACAGGTGGTACGGATAAATATAACAAAGCTTAAAGATAGAGCCCGGGTTATAGATCTGACAAAGGAGGAAATACGAGCACGTCATATATCACCTTATTCTACAGCATGGGGGTATGCCGAAAGGTTTGAAGAAGTGATCATAGACCCAACGTCACATATTCCTTCAGAATGTGTGGAGAAAATTGGTATCGTTCATATGAGAAGTTTTAGTAAAAGATAAGATGCTGTTCCTCTACTGTCTTGAAAAGACAAAATTTACTTCTTGTATTGACTTAACGAACACAAATGAATAATCAGTATGTTTTCCTTGTTTATACAGATTGGCCTATCTATACTAATGCGTCTAAGAAGTTCCTAGGGACGTTGCATATTATCACTTCGCAATGGAGTAGGATGGTTATAACTTCTGTGTGTGTTGTTTTCTTGTTTTGAAGATATGCACTTTGCGAAGGGGTGCTCCGCTTTGCTTGCTCACAAGTCAAACATGAATTGATATTTATATTCAAAATTATTTGAACATCAAAATTTTTTTTTCAAAATTAAAACATGAATGAAATGAATGTAAAAGAGAAAGTAACGCCTATTTTAAGCATAAAATTCAGTAAAGTTGACTTCATTGTGTGTATGGTCCTTCTTGTGTGTTAATATAAAAAAAAAATCTTGATGTTAAGCTTTCAAGGTATTGAGTGGTTAAAGAACACATGCTCCTAATGGATTCTTTAGATAGTGTTTTCTTTTCTCACAATGGTAATGTTGGGCGCCTTTGCCTTTTTAAATTTTGTGAGAAAAATTATATTCACGAGTGGTGAAAACTTTTGTTGAAATAATTGTTGAAATGATTTTTGCACATTTTATAAAATGATGAGGTAATCTTCCCGTCCTGACTATATTGGTTTTGTAATATAGATAAATTAAAAGATCACTTACATATATTCAGCCATTTTTTCTTTTGTTTCACTCAGAGTTTATTTGATAAAATCAACTAGACTTCTAGCATGTCAAGCATCCAGTAGTAATTATAAGTCATTGAGAAAAATCAACAGTTGATCAGGTGAGAGAAAAGTAAATTCCTATTTTTAAGAAAAAACGAGTATGAAAAACAATGAGTGCGATGTATAAAACGTTGGATAAAAAGAATGTCCCATGATTTGTTAGGATTTGATATTCTTCCAACTTGTTGTATGTATTTAACGCACACACACACAACTTGTTGCCTATTGAAAAAAAACATACCCAATCACAAATCATGGGAGATCCTATAATATATATAATCGTAGAAATCGAGGTATTGATATATCGGGACAATTGCCTCTACCACGATACGGTACCCGTAGAAGACACTGACATTATACTCCTAACAAACTGCAGTCAAACTACATGTACTTAAATCGGGCTTTTCAATTGTTTTTAAAAAGATTTCCCATTCTCAAACAAAGGGTTAAATTCTTAAATTTTCTCAAAAGTAGTCCGATTTTATCGACTAAGTAACCAAATACATTATAAAAGGGAAGTACGGTGCAATTCTCATATGACTAATCACTTCGAATTGGATTTGTCATTTCTTATAATTTAATCAATTTGATATGAAACAAATATCTTATCAGGAATTTTATTTCAACGGAGATTGCTTGTATTAACTGATACAACAAGCAGAAAACCATCTAAACAATCAATAAGAATCTCAACCTTTTATTACATACATTGTACGTAGCTTATTTTTTGTCCACCTATTGTTTTCAAGACATTTTCCTTGAACATGATTGCTTTTGGTACAACGTCTTATTTTTAATCAAGGAGGATTTTATATACTGCATTAAAATGGGATAAGAAGTTTGTTATAAATATATATTCATCCATCCAATCTCGTATGTTATGCTATTCAGACAATAAAAAAGATGTACAAAGACATTAGAACCACATTCAATGAAATACAGAAAAACAAATGGAAAAACTTTATTTTATTTTACAATGCATTGTCTTGAAATAGGAAACTTAAAGATAACAACCAGTATTTATGCACATTTAAGCAATATAAAATGAGAGTAAACCCGTACAATTGGAAATCTTGGGTTACCTATGATATGATGGAGTGTAGATCAGCTGTCTATAGCTAACAGTTACATACACATCAGAGGTTCCACACTGAGATACATACACAGGTTCTTCACAGTATTTAAGGAATGAAGCTAATTTCAACTTATGTTATCCGATATAACATAACTTGGGGCAGTTTACGCTTTATAAACCGCGAAGCGGTTTATAAGAAAGCGTAAAATGCCCCAAGTTTTGTTATATCGGATAACATAAGTTGAAATAAGCTTCATTTCTTATAACTTAATTTCAGTTTTGACAATGAGACAATATTTCCTCCGGAAAAAGGCTTCAAATTGAGCATTATTTTAAAAATAACGTCAAGCGCAGTTATACGTTTTTGACGTAACTCATTGTGACGTAGCCAAGTTATGTTATCCAAAATATTATATGTTCCTCAGAATGATTCAGCCAATGAAATTGCTTGATACAAGTAAAATTAAATTATATACATATAACAAATATTGAATTACTTGTATCAGCAACCTCTTTCAAATCCTATTAAGGGGATAGTGTACAAATCTTGTTTGTTGTTTAACGTCCCTCGCAAATTTTTTTCTCTAAGATGGACTCGCCACCACTTGCCGGTGGAGAGATTCAAATTTTGATCTATGCTCGGCACTCAGGGCTTGTGAGCCGTGAGTGTTTTTTTTTTTTTTTTGTGCAAGCACCTTCTGCGACATAGGCCTCGCTTTGTACGATCTCATTCAAAGTAGCAGTCTCCACGTCCCACAAAGGCATATGAAATCGCGACATAAGGATCAACTCCTTACTTCTGTACGCTTTGACTCAAGTGCAGGCATTCTAACCACTGCACCACGCGGGCGACTATTTTTGATAAGAGCATTTTATATCATAATGTTAATATTTTTAAAGCGTATTTGGAAACTTGTATTTTCCCGAAATAATATAAAAAAGAATGTCATGACGCGATTAATCTACACTTACCTTTTACTTGAATACTTAACCCACAATTCGTAATAAAAAATAGATTTGAATTAAAAAATAATTAAAACTACAATTCGGAAAATTAACAGTAGAAATCAAAACGAATACGCTAATATTATCAGATGTGTGCAGAATGCTCCCGATAAAAAATACAATAGTAAAATCAAGAGTTCGTGTCCTGTGTACAATCATGGATTTATTTTATAAGAATTGTAAGCAATTGATCTTTATTCAGGTCAATTTTATAATGCCTTTTATCATAATTGGAATCATCAATTAAAATTCACATATTATGACATCGAAAAAAAGACAAAAGTACCTTAATTACATATTTAGAACTGAAGAAGTAAATAAATGAATTGATCGAGTGAATAAAAACTTTCAACACGTGACTAATACGTCGAGTAATGATACCTTTATCAAAATTCTCGTCTTTATACGGATTCGACATGATTTCGTCTTCGAAAAAGCTTTGAATGATAAAAAAAAAATGAACTGACGGTTCTGAGAAGAACAATTAATAAAAACCATTAGCACCATTCGCTTCTCTAGATTCCTGGCAGCTAGCGATGATTTCATCGTTTTACATCGATTTAGAGCGAAGTAGATGTTCAGGATGACGATAATGAAGAGAAGAAGCCCATCGTCGGCTATGTACAAGAAATACAGATCAGGCAAGTTCAGAGACCATATAACCTCTACAATAATAACTCCATATACAATACTTAATATCAAACACATGACTGACGTTGTATATATTTTACGATTTGTGAGGTAGGCACAGCATTTTAATGGATGAACAAACATTGCATACCTCAGTGTTAAAAGTACCATAACATTCAAGGAAGAAAACATTTTCGTGGTGTACGTCGTAAGAACAAAAATATTTTCGAACCATAAAGATTCACAGAAATTTGAAGGAATTTCAATAAATTCATAGAGAATAAAATTCACTTGAAACATAACATCGGCAACAGCTAAACTTAAGATACACATGTAAAATGGTTTTCTTAGCTTAGTATTCTTCAAAATTACTGCAATAGTGGATAAGTTACAAATGATGCCTACGGCGGAAATAGAAGAGGCTAAGTATTTCAAAAAGGCAGATTTCTCAGAAAAGTCTGAACTGAATTCTTTAGACATGGTCCCCATGAGCTTGGAAGAACCATTCCGACCAATCAAACTTTCAGATGAGGTCAAAGAGCACAAATTCTGAAGAAAACTACCCAGCGAATGACCATTATTACCTATTACAGGATCTAAAAGGTGAATGCATTCCAGAATTTGAGAAGCGTTTTTCAGACATTCGTCGAATGTTTCTGTTATGTTGGAATCTTTAGGTAATTCTTGAAGGGGCGCTATGGAATGCGAGTAGTTACTTCCATCATTTTTGGATGAATTTGAAGAGTAGAATTCTGTAGCGTCATTCATGGCAACCAGCTTTGAATTTTCTGATGAAAAAGTTGCCTTCTCCTCATTTCCTTCAGGATCAGGACACACAAGTAATGGGTGCGCCATTATGTAGATACATGCCCAAAACGCTTTTTTCAAGCTTCCTGTTTGATAAACAGAAAGAAAAAAATAAAAGCTTACTTAAGACAGCAGTAGTTGACTTTATGTAGGTATAATGATAAGAAGAGGTTACATCATAGAAGCCGATTAGCATTGATTATCGTTTTCATGAAGTGGGGTAGTCGATAGAGGATGCAGAGCCCCCGAGATTTCTATGCCCAATGAAAAAAATGTAATAAAAAGTTCGAGGCATTCTTGATATGAGCAACATGTCGCATGTCTGCAGATGACGTAAATTTAATTTATTGTTTAAAAATCAAAAAAAAATTTTAATCTCAAGTGTCAAGAGAGTAATATACAAATCAATCTTACTTACATCTCGGATTTTCAGTGAATTTTTCTTTAGCTTTTTTTTTTCAATATCATAAGTTGATTTATATAAGTTTTGAGATTTTGACCTGATGCTTTAATGCGAAACGGAGAAGATTCCCAATGGAAAACATTTTCACTTGTCAAATAAATCTGGAAATAGCTTTTTATACAACTAATCAGAAATCAACAGAACAAAAACCTTCCTCGAAGTACAACAGGATCAAAAGGACATGGGATAAATAGGCTGCATGTGGAGGAGATATTCAACTTAAGAAGTAGGTGTCGACGATTTGAATCATTTTCTTTTTCGAATGATAAGAAAATGTACGCTGGGAGTTTTATAAAAAGAGGTGCATCTTCAAACCATTGCCCTAAGGTGTTTTCTATTGTAATTGCAAATTATTCAGAGTGTTTGGAATGGCCGGGTATATGACTCGCACGAGACCAGTTAAGTATGGGAGAGGATAATGTACAATTACTTACAAGACAAAGCCTGGGGGCAATTTTTTCTCCTGAAAACTAGAAGAGGACAGTTTGAGTTAAATTACAATAATAATGCATTTTACTTGACCTTAAATATGGCGAGGGCATACTCCTCTTACCAAGTCCAACTTAAAACGGCTTTGGTAAATGATAAATTCATCATTGATATATCACTGTTTTAAATATCTCTATAATACCATTCAACCTTAATGATAATAAATG